AGAGAGAGAGAGAGAGAGAGAGAGGGAGAAAGAGCAAATGTACCTTGCAACCAGTAAAGTTTTGCTGTTACTTTAAATTCACTGGGTCTCTGTGTATTACAAAGTGCCTCAGTGTTCGGTTGGAAGTGATTTGTGTGTATTCCTAATTATTTCCCCACTGTTGACCAGGGCTGTGTGTCTGTCTGCTCCAGCCGCACCTATCTGGAAAACCCAGGTAGAAAGCAAGGGGGGCTGACAAGATCCACTGCCTCAACAGGTTGTGAGTGTGTGAGTGATTTGTGTGTATCCCCAATTATTTCCCGGCTGTTGACTAGGGCTGTGTGTCTGTCTGCTCCAGCCGCACCTATCTGGAAAACCCAGGTAGAAAGCAAGGGGGGCTGACAAGATCCACTGCCTCAACAGGTTGTGAGTGTGTGAGTGATTTGTGTGTATCCCCAATTATTTCCCGGCTGTTGACTAGGGCTGTGTGTCTGTCTGCTCCAGCCGCACCTATCTGGAAAACCCAGGTAGAAAGCAAGGGAGCTGACAAGATTTGCGTGTCTCAACAGTCTGTGAGTGTGTGAGTGATTTGTGTGTATCCCCAATTATTTCCCGGCTGTTGACTAGGGCTGTGTGTCTGTCTGCTCCAGCCGCACCTATCTGGAAAACCCAGGTAGAAAGCAAGGGAGCTGACAAGATTTGCGTGTCTCAACAGTCTGTGAGTGTGTGAGTGATTTGTGTGTATCCCCAATTATTTCCCGGCTGTTGACTAGGGCTGTGTGTCTGTCTGCTCCAGCCGCACCTATCTGGAAAACCCAGGTAGAAAGCAAGGGAGCTGACAAGATTTGCGTGTCTCAACAGTCTGTGAGTGTGTGAGTGAGTGACCATAAGCCAAACCTGGGAGCAGCCTGTGTAACACTGGCTACTATATCCCAACCTGACTGTGGTGGGTCCAGATAATCAGCTTCCTCCAGAGCCCTTTGAAGCTGTAGCCCTACCACCTTCTCAACAACCTTCCCCAGAAAGGAAAGGTTGGAGAGTTGAAAAAAATATTTACCAGTACTGCTGGGTTTGGTGATGGTCTCTTGAAGAGGATATAAGATGAAACAGAGTTGAAAGGGGTGAGGAGGCAAGGTTTTTAGACAGTTCAAAAAGTTTGTGCTGGATGCAGACAGAATGGGAGGAAGTAAATGAAGTAAAATAAATGTGAAAAAATATAATAAACTCCACTGCTCTTGTTGGAGATCTACCACCTTCCAACTTACTTGTGGACCTCTATTCTAAAAAAATTATTATGCTAAATAAGCATATTACACATATTCAAAGGCACAGAAGTATAAAAAAGAGTATGGGCAAATTAATTCAGTTTTACCTGGCAGTCTGGGGCCAGTTCTGTTCTGGCTTCTGTGTTTTGATTGGGACTGCATAAATGTCTGGGTGCTTTTGTGCTATTTCCACCTAAAAAAAAATGAGGGTCAGAACATTTTCATGTTTTCCTCAAACTATAAATTACTATCTGATGCTAATTTTGCTTCCAACAGCAAGATGACCCATTTATTTACTTTACAGACTGTCAGATTATTTACAAAATATATAATGAATATCACAGATGAAAGATATTAACACACTACAATATTTTAAAACAGAAGAAGCAAGATTTTTCCTGGGAGCTAGAAGACCTATAGCTTGGACATAAAATGGCTCTCTGCATGAACTGAAAACTAATGGAGATTGTTGTGCTAGGAAGGATAACATTTTTCTACAATTTCTCTTCATCTGCAGCTCTAGCACTACCTTCCAAACTGTTCTGAAGAAGCTTTCAAAAATGCTATCCCCCATATCTTAGAGGAATTCTGCTAGCAAAATCCAAACTATTATTTGAATTATATTTTTTATTAATTTGATTCTGTACCATTAGTTTTCTTACTATTGTAAATAAAACATTTGCACAGGACAAACAGAATCATTCTTCTTATACCCTGGCATTCTGTGCTTCCTGCAGTTCCTGCATTCTTAACAGTCTTGCCTTGTGATCCATTTTCTCAAAAATTTTAACTTTCCCCAGCACAGATTTTGGTGTGTTCTCTTCTACAACTTCTCCCACTTTTTCCTCCACTTCAGCAGGTGGAATGACTGGTTGAGAAGACTTCGATACAGGCCGCCCAAAGGTTGGTTTAAGGGCTATAGGGGGAGGAGCTACTTTAGCTGGTACTCCAGAAATTTCAATGCTAGCTGCATTAGGGCTGTTTGTTCTGGGTTCATAATTCTTAGGAACATCATATGGGTCTTCTTTGTTTTGCAACTTAGCCTGTAAAATAATACAAATGCAAATGTGGATTTTTACATAAAAATAACAGATTCAGTCTAGAAATGATCGGTTTCAAGAAAATGATAAACTCCACAGTGAAATGGGCGGTGACAAATCTGAAATATAAATAAATAAAAAATAAAATAAAGCTGATATTTTTAGCTAAGGAAGCACAAGTGATTAATGTAGAGCTACATTTTTTCCTAATTTTGGCATCAACATTTGGAGCTAGAAATTAAACAGCAGATATTGAAAAGTAATTAAAACACTCTCAGAGAATGGATCAACAATCCATAGTGGGCTATCTTTAGTAGGGCCAACTGGATGCCACAAAAATTTGCAAGCTTTTGAGTCCCCCAGGTAATTCAATAGCATGCATCCCTTTTGGGGCATTTTGGTTGATGCTACTCTACAAAAAGTATTGCCCAACTCTGGGTTTAGAACATTTATTCCCATTTGTTTTTTCCCTTTGTTTCTTTTTTTGTGCGTGTGCATGTTTTGGTAATTAAGGAAGAGACACTAACAATTCTGGTAAACTATAGAAATTTTTCTTTTCATGTTACCTTTGGAGGTTCAGGCTTGAAGGCTGGGGGTGGACTGGGGTCCCTCAGAACTTCTCTGCTACCAGCTTTTCTCATCTGAATTTTTGGTTCAGGGCTAAATTTCCTTAAACTCTACAAACAAGTAATAATGGCCATTATGCATATATTCACATAGTTCTGGGCTCATATGAAGCATAATTACAATTTTGCAATTGACAGCAAAAGACACACCAGTTCTTCCATCCCAGGCATTAGTGCAAACAACATTCATCAGTGTTTCAAAATGACACTAGCTATTTTCCAGACTTCCATTTCATTCCAGACTTTTCACTTCTTCATTTCAGACTTCAAATTTCCATCAGTATTTACAATGTAATGCTCCAAAAGAAGGAAAAAAACCCAACTTCTTACCTCCTCCTGTTGCACAGGTTCAGAGGACCGACTAATAGAAGAGACTCTTGGCTCATAGTATGGCTCATCAAGTTCATTATCTGTATAACCTCCACCTTCCCCATCCGTGTCTTCCATATCACTGATTAGTCGACTATCACAGCTCAAATAGTCAGCACCCATAGCGGTTAAGTATGACATACGATCGTCAATGTCATCATCCATTCCTTCCAACTGCCAAAAAAAAAGTTTTGTAAGAGATTTTTTGAGGGTCAGAACAACACTTATATTAAGTAACTGTTACGCTTAACCCAGTAAGAAATAGTACAAAAAGATTTAAGTAGGGTCACTTATACTAGAAAGAGTAACTGTACACTGTTTATTAGTGATATACTCCAGAGGCCAACAAACTTTTCAGGCATCAGGCCAGTCTGATACAATAGTATGTTACCTAAAAATCAAAATGTAAAAATGGCTAAAATGCAATGACACTGCGGCATCTCACAAGATTTCAGCATTTCCAGTTTGAACAATGAAAGTCAGTGACATTTAGCAATCCTGCATGTTTTGTGAATATACTGAGAGAGAAAGACCCATGTATGTGTTTCCATGAATGCCTTAGTGTCCATTAGTGTGGCAATGCCAAGTTTTTAACCACCAAAATTTAACCAGGCTGTTTCTTTGTATGTGAACAATTAGGCATGATGACTATTGCATGAAATTCAGGGACCTTTACCTTGAACAAGGAGAGACTTCTCTATGCATATAAAAAAGAAATTCCCCTATACACATCAAGCTCTTCTTCTCACAGAGAGTCTTGGTCCATGTTCCAGGTTAACGTGCATGCATAAACCACTCGAGCACATACCTTTCCTTCTGAAACCCACACTGCTTCATTTTGTTGTTGCTGAATAGTATCTTTAAGATTGCCATACCAACCATCATTGGCTGAATTTAGATCAATGGTAGCTGTAGAAATGTTTAAACAATGGATTATTGGATTTGCAAACCATTACTGCCAAACATTTCATTATCTTACTTTAATTATTTTCAACTGAACAAGAGCACTACTTTTTTCCCCAGTGCTAGAATACCTCACTACTTACTAATACTATCAGTCTGAGAGAGGATGCCTAATATTTAAAAGCACAATAAAACGATAGCACAGCATTCCATCACTGTAAAAGTAAAGATGAGGATGTTAGCAATCAGGAATGGATAATAATTATTATACCATCCTTCCTATGTGCTTTGGTCCTATTCAAGAAACATGTCATGTTTGAAATAAATCATTTTTTCTTCTTCACTACTGATTTCATCTTCTCACATTCTAGTTTAAAACTAATCCTAATAGATGCTGAAGCCAGTCTTTTCTCAGAACCCTCCCTACTGAACTCCTTTAAATATAGCTTACAGGAACAAATAACATTTTGTGTGCATATCACAATACATCTAATAATGCATCTAATACTGTAACCCATATATTTACATTTAAACTATTTGGACCAGGCTTTCTGGAAAAGGCTAGGAACTCTGGTTAGCTTATTCCACTGCTTAGGTTTTCCTATAATTAGAATATTTTTGCTTTCCTATAATTAGAATATTTTTCCAAAACTATTTAAATTACCTGACGTATAAAAACGTTGCTTTTTGACCTAATTCCAAACTAGGTCTTGGGTAGCATCTACCCAAAACTCATGTATTCAATAAGACTTGGAATCTGACTGTTGAATACACTATGACATTTCCTAAATGGCTGTCACGTAAACTACACCACTAGATGCTTTCAAAGAAAACAAGCGATGGTTTCACGCACCTGTAAAAAGATGGAAACATGTCTTTTTCAACTTATTTGCTTGATCGTAAAGCTTCCGTGTGCTCTTGTTGGATGTGGGAATTAGCCTTTGCCTCATAATTTTCACACCTTGTTTGCTGTCTGGGTTGAAAAACACTACAATTGGGAACCACTGAGTGTAGTTTAACAGATCCACAGCTTTGGGAGTCACATCCAACAAAGCATGTTTATCCTGTTGAAGAAGAAGGCAATATTGAGTTTATGCTCATAGGGAAGGGAAGCAAAACACATTGGTACTTTTAATATAGTCTATTATTATTCTAATGGAAAGGACGCAAAAAGGAAAATGTACCTGCTCAATAATTTGCCTCACAGTATTCAGACGTACTACACCAGTAGTCTTCTCTGAACCTGCATCTTTTGGTTCTGTTTCTGCAAGAATAATATGTTAGTTTTTGCTAACATATTGCATATATATAACATTTTTGCTAACATTTTGCATATATTTAAGATCTGTTTTGGGAGATCATGAAACGCTAATAGAGTTTTCAAGTTGGGTGCCTGGATGGAAAGTCCGAACATAATACATTTTTTGCACAAAGTTCTAATGTCAACCTTAAAGGCTCTTAACAGTTTAAGACCTAAGGATATCCTAAGGATGTCTTTATTAGTATCACTCCGCCCATAAAATTTGTGCTAGAGAACTTGCTCATGTATCCAAAGGTAAACTTCTTTAGCTTCACAAGCTCATGAATTACAGGTAGTCCCTGGGTTAAGAACATCCAGTTTAAGGATGACCCATAGTTAAGAACAGAGCTTACTATAGCAAAATTCGAGTTAAATACACAATGGTTTGAATTAATTGCACAATATTGCTTATATAGTATTACGCAATAATACTGTTCCACCTTACATATAAATTTGACTTAAGGACAGACTTTGGGAACAGAACTCTTTCTTAAACTGGGGACTACCTGTATTTTTCTCAGTTGTGACCCTACTGTAATGGCCTCCTCTCCAAAGATCATTCACTAGGGCTCTACAATGCTAAGAGGCAATGAGGCCATTAAAAAGAAAAAGCTGCTTAACTTTTGTTCAAGTTCAGCTTTTGACTGGACCCCTGGACACCGTCATGTAATTTTCTTGGCATCAGGCTGTCAAGTATGGCCAAGAAACAGTTGGCCATTTCCTTCTTCTGGTATTTTTTTTTAATTTCCCAGTCTAACCTAGAGATTTGGTATTTCACACCAATCTCTTAGCCCAGTTCAAAGAAATCCTTTGAGACTGCAAATTCTTAAAGTATTCTGGGGAGGAACGAACTAAGACATTTTTTCTTATTCATCTATTTCATTGCCATCACTTTATGATCATTTTGATGTATTATTATTATTGTTGTTGTTATTGTTATTGTTAAAATTAATAAATAAGGAACAAGTATGGAGTCACTTACTGGCAGTCTGATATAGCTCTGGCAATTCATTACACAACTTCTCCATCGCTATGTCTGCAATGGGACCAAATATCACCACTGGCCTCCTAAAACCAGCTGCGAAGAAAACATTATATGTAGTTTGTTTGCATGATTATAGGATCAAAGTGAAAAGCCAATCATTTAAGGTTTATTATCACTAGAGGGAAAAATCCAGTGTTGCATCAATGGATTTCTGCTCATATAAGGAGACATTCTCTTTCTCCTCTTCAACTTGCACACAACTTCACACCCATCCTATCAGTTCTGGAGGGTTCCCCAATACTATTGAAACAATTTTCAGGGTATATGGAGGCAGGAGAGGAAAGCAAAATTGCCTTTTTCCATTCTCTTGGTGGATGTAATTTCAACAGGGGAACATAATTGGACAACATCTATTGTCTGTAAATTGGATACCCATTATCTGTAATTTATATGTAAACATTTCTCCTTACAAGTGGAAGTTTACAATCATTAAGACTAGCTTCCTACAGGAATTAAAAGAAATTAACAAGCAGTAGCTGACATGCAATAAAAAGCAAGAGTTGTAGGCCACATTTCAACACAAACTAAGTCCTTGATGAAATCATCTGAGATGTTACTGACTCCAAACGTATCATTTTTGTTTGTAAGTAGTGGTGGGAGAAATGATACTTTCCTAATGCCTAGGAGCCACAGGAAATTATCCTCTTCCGTATACCCAATAGTCAAGCTTCTGGCAGGTTTTTCGGTGCGCCCCCCCGATCTAAATAACTAGGGAGATTCTCATCAGGAGAGGTGCTTCTATAGTTAATAAGGTCCTAAGAGTCAACAACGATTTGATGGCACATAACCAATTAAAAAAAAAAGCTTTTTAGGCTTTAGAGGTCAACAACAGGACCTTAAATTGTGCCAGCAGGCAATTGTAACTGATGCAGATCTTTCAAAAAGGCATTAAATGATCTCTGAATCTTGCAGCAGTGAGGAGCTGGGCAACTCCATTTTGCACCAACTGTAATGTTCAAGGTTGGTCCCACATGAAGCACGTTGTACTAGTCAAGAAGGGTTGTAATTATCACCAAGTCCAAGTACTCAGGAAAGGTTGCAACTGACACACTAATCTCAAGTGCAAATGCTACCCTAAAATATTTTTGGGATGAACATTAGCACGGATGCCGTCATTCAAACAAAATACTGGCTAATCGTTGCTTTTTGCACAAAGCATTCAGCAATTCAAAATATATACAGAAGATATTTTTATTTTTAAGAATTGGATATTTTTAAATATATCCAATACATGATTCTGGCTGGTGCATACTTTAACATCTACTGTTAGCCTAGAGCTAAAGCTGAAGAATTATAATTATTTTTTACATTTCCCCACTCCCCAATTGAAGTATCTATCTTTTATAAATAAGGATATCAGTTTGCAGTTCTTAAATGTTATCCCTCACTCACCTTCCCGAAGCATAACTCTCTCATAGGCTGGAAATTTAGTGCCAACAGATGCAATCACTGTTAAATCTTCTCGGCTCTTCTTGAGATTCTTCTTCATTCCTGACCGCTGGCCACGCATCCGCCAGAAGTCAGCCCTATCGCTGGAACCATCTCTCTGAGCATTTTGAACACTGGCCATCTGTTCAGCCCTGAAAGGGACAACATTTGCTCCGTTTTTCAAAAACTAGCAAAGTATATGCACTTAAGAACAAATGCGAGTACTGTACAGGTTTTAAGAAAGAACTGATTTAAAAGATTCTAACATTTAATCCTCAACAGAGGTTAAAGTGAGTCTTCATATACGTGCTGATGACATGTAATGCCAATCCCTTTCAGCTGAGGTCTACTCATAAGTGTCCACAAGAGCTTCCCCAGCCCACATATTCACATTAATCCATCTTTGCAATTCATTTGAACAGGAACAAATAAAGGTGTGCACTTCTTGGGACAAGGCTAAAATTATTCCTTGCCCCTGGTGGTCCTAGTTCTACTTACACCTATTTCCACATCCAACCTGATTTAAATCAAGCTATAGAGGGATGGTCAAGAAATACACTGCTAACTAGCACTTGGTAGGGTAGCAGTGAAGGCCTGGGAAAAGTTATTCTGCTGCAATGACCAGTCTATATCTACAAAGATCAGAATCTTTGTTTTTTTCCTCTGAAAGTCCATGGATGAGAAAGTTGGACTTTGAAGAAGCAGGATTAAAAACTATTGATGTTTTTGATCTTTGGTGTTGCAAAAGGCTCCTGAGAATACCATAGTTAGCCAAGAAAAAAAACAAATGAATCACAGAACAAATCAATACAGGGTTGTCACTCAAGGAACAAATGACTAGGCTCAAATTATTATATTTTGGACACATTATGTAAAGACCCAGATCCCTTGAGTAGTAGGGGAGAATGGACTAAATTACAGCAGCAATGGGTGCACCATTGGGAGTCCTGAAGGACCAAGCTGGGACCAAGCTGGAGAAGATTTATCTATATGATCACTCAGAACTAGGATCAACTTGATAACACATAATCATAGTGTGATGGAATAAAGGAAAGGTGTCCCATGTTAAATTTACAGGAGAGTAACATACCTGCTTTTATTCGGAATTAACCCTTTCTCTAATTCACTCTCAATTCTCACTGCCAGCCAGTGGCCCAACTTCCCATCATACAGTGTATCAACCACTCGGAAGACATCACCTCTGGTGAAAGCCAAGCTCTGTGGTGTTTCCTTTTCACATTCAAAGTGTGTCCTTATGAAGAAAGAATCCCCTCTACCACAAGCCATTATGTCTCTATAAACTGGGGGAGGGGGGAGGAAGGGAGAGATGAGAGAAAGAACCCAATTATTTTGTTCAGTTGAGAGTTTTGTCATCACTTCTTATTGCTGCTGTTCTAGCAGAAGGCAGCTGTTTTGAATTAACTAATTTCTATTTGCTTCCATCACATAAACGTCTAAGAGCTGTAGATATAAAAGAATAGAAAATGTTTTTTATACCACTTTTCAGACATGGCACTATTTTTTCCATATATTACACAGAAATCAATTTCTGAATTTCAATATGCTATATCCTACTATCAGTGGCTCATATTTAAAAAGGAATCATATATATTAGATGTTTCCTATAAATTTCTAATGGCAACTGTATAAACAAAGAAGTTGGACTTGCTAACTTCTGTTTGGCTTAAACATAAAATATTTTTGATCACTGGCCATTTTTGTGGCTTGAAAAATTGGACATAATTCTTTTTACCAACAAGATAAATAAAACTTTCAACAACTATGCAAATTAACAAAGAACTACCGATCTATATAGCTGCTATCTTATAAATTTGGACATTTATTAGAAAATGTACATTATTATAACTAATACGCTTTTCTAAGACTACGATAAACATCAGTCGATATAAACAGAATAAAAGATAAAACAAAGAAATATGTTAAACAAAGCAGCACATTAGAAACATGCTATTGTTTTACACATTACATATTCACACATACCATCATATTTGCTTTGAGCCAAAATTGTCACGATATCACCTTTAGGAATTTCTAATAGGTACAGAACAGCATCCTCTCGAATGATACCTCTGAAGTCTTGACTGTTTACCTGGTGCAAATCAACCACACTCAGCTTTAGGATTTATTTTTCCAGGTTTTTTAAAGTCACTCTGCATATTGTAATTTTAGATAACCACATGATACTTTTTAATTGTTTATGTTTTACATTACTGCAACTTTCTAACCAGGTAAATCTTGATTTATTGCTATAGGAGTTAAGTACTCACATCTAGAGGGCACAAGATTGAGGAAGGCTACAGGAAAATAGTGATTTGACCTGAGTGATTTCACATAATCCATTAAAAAATTGGAAATCACAACCAACTTTAGCCAACTTGCTTTCCTTAAAAACAAAGTCTTGCATTTAAGCCTGGCTATTCAGAAATACTGGTGTTAATGGACAGATTATAATCTGTAAATTATAATAGGGAAGACAGCAACTTCGTGTCCTGTGACAAGAGGATTTTTTCTTTCATAAAAAAATGAAAGAAGAGACAACATGTATATTTATCTCAGCCAAACATGTTTCTTGAAAGATGATTTCAGAATTGTTCTCATAATTATAAATATTGAGGGGGGGAGCATTTTTTTCAGTTAAGTTGCTAAAAAAATCATATTTTAAATGGAAAAGAATTCTGCATGCAAACCTTAAGAATCTGATCCCCCTCCTGCAGGCCTTCCTGTTCTGCTGAGGTTCCTTCTTGAATTCCAGCAACAAATATTCCTACATCATTCCCACCAGCCAGCCGGAGGCCGACACTATCTCCTTTCTTGAATTTCACCATTTTTGTATCAGGACTTAAAGAGAAAATGGTGGGTGTTATTTGTTTCAACTTAAAATATCATGGACTATAAGTAATTTCTATAGTGAAGAGAGAATACATTTGTATAACAAGGCACTTACACAACTGAAGCAGCCTATGATTCATAAGTGAATAAAGAACCCATGGAAAACAGACTACATTTCCAATGTATTTTTATTGTCATATTTAAATGTTAGATTTCTTGCAGACTATACACTTCTCAAGGCAGTTTAGAAAATAAAATACACAAGTAAAATAATAATATATACATTTTTGTAAAATAACCCTAGTACCAGTAAAATACCACTTTAAAACCCATATCAATTGCCGATACAAATCTTTTCATTAGTATAAATTTATTTATTTAGCAGATTTATACAGCCGCCCATCTCACAAAAAGTGACTTTATAAATGGGTTTTTATAACCTTCTAGTCAGAAAGTATCAACTAAATAATACCAGGAAGGAATTCCATAGGTCAAAGACTACCCTTTATAAGGTCCTATCTCTCTAGAGCTCACCAACCTTGCTATTCTTCGCTGTTATTAATTTTTAAAATCTATTTATTTATTGTATTTATATAGCCGCCCATCTCACATAAAAGTGACTCTTGTATAAGTATAGTACCTTAAACCTAGTTTACCATATGAAATGCTTTAAGACACAAAAATGAAACTATGAAATCTAATGCTGCATAAACCCTCTGAAGGCATATGATACCACCTGTAACCTTCCATCTACCTACACAATCCATGGCAGCCTCCCTGTGAAAACAGCCCTTGGGCACAGAGATAGAGAGTTGGAAAGAATCGGAGGGAAAAAAGCTGAAATGCAGCAGACAAAGCAATAAGACAGAAGAAGAAGTGTAAGTAAGTAGAGTTCCTGAAGGAAACCGTGCAGCCACTGAAGACAGGAGGTGACTGCTAGATGAGAGATTGCAAGGTAGATTCAAAAACTACAGCCAGAATTTTCCAGGTACTGTTGTAGGGGAAATGCAATTTCTATAGAACAGGCTGAACTCAAATCAGCTTTAAATTTAAATTTTAATTTAAAAGGGAAAAAGATAACTCTGCGTCATCTGTATTTTAGTGAAGTCCCTCAAATGTTGAATAGCAGGAAGGGTAAATGTACATTTTGTTGGAACCCACAGCATTACAGTGACTGATAGCCCAAGTTACTGAGACATCTGTAAGAATAGCAGTACATCTCCCTCTCCCTGCAAAGACATCTCTATACTGTGTCAAATCACAGGTTGCAAAATGGACACTTCAGCTAAACTTAAAGCAATATCTCCAAAAGAAAGGGAAGATATAACTTTATATACAAAAATGAAATTGTGTGTGTGTGTGTGTGTGTGTGTGTGTGTATGTATATATATATGTATATTGCCAAGTTGCCAAGTGACAGCAACATCAGGAAAAAGGAGTATGAGAAGCTGGAGAAGTACCAGGGTCTGAAGGAGGAACTAGAGAGGATGTGGAAAGTAAAGGCCAAAGTTGTCCCAGTGATGGTAGGAGCACTCGGGGCTGTGATCCTAAGCTAGGAGAGTGGCTCCAACAGATCCCAGGAACAACTCAT